GGCCTGACGCACCGGCCTCGCCACTGGTCGCTTCCTGCGGTCGGAGTCAACACCCCTGCCGCGGGGGACGGCAGCCAGGGGAGCTGTTCCACCCGAGGTGCATGTTTGCCCCTCAGTGACATGGAGATTGATGGTCCTGAGGCCAAAAACCTCTCCAGCGTGGTGCAAGACGCTGATAATCCGAGTGTGCCCAGGTGCTGAACACTGGTCACATAATGCTACATTACCATCAAAAATCATTTAGGAACGATATCTTAAAAATGGTGCCTGGGCCTTCAACACGTTGGTTTTGTGTCCCATGGGCCCCCTGGCCACCTCTGTGCAGCAAACCTGGCACTGGGGTGCAAGCTGGGATCAACTCTTGGGCCTCACCAGCAGGAGCGAAGGGGTCTTCCCCCGGCCCCTCAGAGGCACAGCAGCACCCATCCTGTTTCCTCCCACCAAGTGGGACATGTGACAGGGACAGTGAAATCCATCCAGAGGTAGATGGAGCCTGCCACATCTGAGAGGCACTGGAGGAAAACAAATAATAGAATTAAAAAAATGTCTGCAATGTGATGTTCGTAAACTTGTTTTTCTTGTAGTGTCCCAAAAGAGCCATGTTACGTTGCTAGTAAGTAACATCAACTGTTCCTAGCTATGTTAATGGTTGCTTTATATAACTGGATGGAAAAATCCTTTCCCTTGCAGACATTTTGTTTCCTCTGTTTACAGGGAGTTGGAGCTTCCTACGTAGAGAAAGCTCTCAAGGAGCAAGTCACATTTTCCAGAGAGTTATGTATCTGGAGAGATGACTAACTGCTGTAGACTGAGTCACGGTGAAGGAGGGAATTCTGAGAAAGGGTAGAGAGGGGACAGCTGAAATGACAGCAGAACAGAAACAGCAGCAGCAGCTCCTTTGTGAGCGTTCTCTTCACTTGCTACAGATGTGATACCACAACACTCAGTCAAATGAGAGCTGTATTCCTTATCTTTAGCTTTTAATTAACCCTGTGAAAATACCCAGGGTTTATGGTGGTTGCTAAACTTGTCAGCGACTCAGCCAGGCTGGGGTTTGGTATGTCTGAAGGCAGCTGAGTTATGCTTGTGATCAAGCTGTGAGATAGGCTTAGTAGATAAACTTCCGGTATCAGCCTCTTAACTAAGTATTTGAAGAATGTGTTTTAAAGTGATTACAGAAAATTGCACTCCAATTGATTCCAGGTGTACCTTGGCTCCTCACCTTCGATCCAGGCAGGAAAACACAGATCCAGGCAGGAAGACTCACCACGAACCAGATCTGAACCTTCAGGCAAGGCTTTTATTTTAAACCCTTGAGGCTGCTGGAGATTTCTGTGCCCTGAGAGAAGTTCAGCTGTTAGAGCTTTCTTAAGCACACCTTCACAAAGCAAAACAAACTCTTAGCTGCCCACTGCTTGCTGAGAACTGAAACATAGGGTGGTCTTTTATACCAGGGGTGCTCAGATACATCAGTGAGGAATGAGAGTTGAGAACTAGAGGGGACTGAAGAGGTGGCAGCACAAATTCATGGGTGGCTGTGGCAGTGGGAGCCCAGCTCCTGAGCTGTGCTTATTGCAAGAAGGGATGTGGTGGAAAAGGTGCTGTGTCTCCAGAAAAGGAAGAAGGAACCAATGCAAGTCTGTTGGTGTTTTGCTCTGGACAATGTTGGGGGTTTCTATTTTCACCTTCTGGTGCAGGAGCAGAGATGGCTGGGAGGGATCAAGCATGTTTGGAGAGTACAAACCCAGCTTTGGGCTATTAAAACAGCCTGCGAGCTGTGGCTTGCAAAGGAAGCTGCCCTCCCTCTGAGTGTGCGGGGAGCTGACGTTGTTAGGCTGAGCGGGTGTGATGGTGAGCACCGCGGGGCTGGTTAGCTGTGGGAGTCGTGGTGTGGGCCGTAGGTGGAGTGCTCTGGCCAGGTGCCAGGAGCCAGGCTGTACCACTCGCAGCAAACAGCTCATGCTCAGGAAATGCCATCTGAGCAGTAGCCCAAACCATCCCATAAAGGAAGGTTGCTGGGTAGAGCTGAGCTTCATTCCCAGCCTCATAGGGAGGGATTTTGGCAGGTCCTGCCCAGCAGATGCTTCTGTCTGATGTTACTGCAGAGAAATGGGATGGGGGGACCCAGGAACACCCTAATGCTTCGGAGACAGGAGGATCCCTCTTTAGTGTGGCTACTGCAAACAAAGCCAAATGTATGTTGCTGGAAACTGTAGGCACGGGAAAAACACACAGATTTGCCTTGGGCTTTGCGCATGCACTTACCTCTGTACAACGAGGCCAGAAAAAAAGGCTGATAATAATTTCACATTTTTGAACCCAGCAATTGGAAAGGTACCAGGCAGAGAGAACTCGATGTGGTGCTGAGCCAGCCTGAGACACCCCCATGCAACACCGTGGTGATAGTCACCTTTTGTTCTTCACATCCTTCTCTCTTTTGGCTGTTGCTGCCACAAGGAACTCAAACCCTTTTTCTGCTTCATTTCCTCTGGCCCAGCTTTTCTTCTGCTCAGCAAAGCCGCCGTGCTGAAGGACTCCCAGGGACTTTGCACCTCCGAGGAAACCTTTTTGCCAGAGAAAACGCTGGGGTGTTGATCCCTGCCAGTGTAGCAGGAGCAAAAGGGAAAACATCTCTTATGACAGGGTTTGATTGCCAGCTGAAAATAAGCAAAGTGCCTGTCAGTGACATGTGAGCACAAGAAAGCTTTGCAGATGGAAATAAAAGCAGTGCTTTCCCCTCTTTGCCTGCTCTGCCTTCCCCACAGTGCCAGCGAGGCATTGGCTTGCAGGCAGCAGAGCCATGCTGGATCTGGATGTGCAGTGCTCTTTGGACTCTTACGTCTTTTCTGAAAATGGTGTCTAAAAGCGTAATGGGCACTTTGCAGATCTCTAAATAGACCAGCCTCTGTCCTGAGGAGCTGACAAAGTAAGGAGACAAGTGCGAGGGATGGGAGAACGACTGCATCACAAACTAGCCGGGGAGGTGGCACGTGGCCCACCTGCTCAGTATTTTTCCATCACATTCAGCTGCTCCTTGCCAACTTCCAGCTCTGTCACCCTCTTCAAAAGCTTATGCTCTTGGTTTATTTAGCACGCTATTTATTTCCTAATTATAGAACTTAACTGACTAACCTCAGCCCTACTGGGTTACTGCTGTCCACCTTTTTGTCCTTGGTAGACCAGAGGCTCTAGTCTCTTCTTGTGGCTGAAGGCAGTTGCTAGAGACTTTCTGACTCTCTTTTTTTGGTTTTTCTACCAAACCCAAGAGGGCTCTGACTGCTAATAGAGGGAGCTTCACCATTTCAGGGCAGATGGGCTGTTGCATTCTGAAATTCCCTAGGCCAAAAGAGAAATGCCACAGAGCTGAGCACTTTACCAGTCTGTGATCCACCGCTTCTGCCCGCGAATTCCCAGCAGCCAGCTCACTCCTTTTACCCCACATCCAGCCACAGCTGCTAGCTGGAGGAAGAAGGTTTGAAAACCACTCCCAATCAGCAGCAGTGCTGCCAGTCCTGCTTCTGGGTGCTCCATGGCACTTGGACGCTGACTGGCTCCACAAGCAGACTGAGTGCTCTAGGGGAAGGATCTGTCTGTATCTCCCTGAGATAAATTTGTGCCACAACACTGCTGAATTTTCCAGGGAGTCCAGTTGGGTGAAATTCTTACTTCCTGCACTAAAAGCTGCTGAGTTGAGCAGATCTGTTCTCTGCAGCCACCTCCAATGCCACCTCTTGTTTGCTCACAGCCATTTCTGCCCCTTTATCACGCATTTTGGTAAATCAAGACACAGCTGCAGGAGCCAAGCAGTGCTTTGATGTGACACCTGTCCCTAAAGCCATCTGCACAACCGGGGGGGTTACACACAGGGGAGGCTGCATGAGAGCAGCAGGTATCTGGCAGGCAGCAAGAGCAGGGAGAGGAGTTATCTGTGGTGGAAAGCAGGATGGATTGGAACAAATTAATGTAGTAAAGCCAGAAGGATGTATGAGCTTCTCCTGGAGTGTTTCCAAGATGTCATACTGAATAAAGGAAACTGTTTGTCTTCTGTTTAATTCTGAGTGGTCTGTCTGACATTTGCCATTATACTGTGTTCATGAGGTTGGCGTTTGGAAAGACTCTGATTATCCAGCCTCAGAAAGCCAGCAAGGGAGACTGCTAAAGCCACATTTTTTTTTCAGTGGCTGTTTGTGAAACACTTACTTGGTAAAAGTTGCCATAGAAGTAGTGATGCATGAGGAGAATGAAGGGTTGCAATCTTGCAAACTTAAGTGCTTAGTGAACCAAACAGTGGGATGATCAGCCCCCCATAAAAATCCAAATTTTAGTATTGCCTGAGGAATGGGGAAGAGACTCTTCTCAGAGAGCAATATTTATAGAAGCAAAGTCAGTGGAGGTGGAAGCTACTGCCTTGTGCCAAAATAGTGAGAATAGGAACAGGTCTGGGAGGTAGAGAGCACACAACTGTGTTTGGATGAGGGTGAGTATGGCGGAAATGGCTACAGTTGTGCTTTGGGGGAAAGGGTGATGGTGTTGGGGTGCAGAGATCCAGAGCTCTGTTTCCTGGAGGTGTAAAAGGAAAGTGGGGATGAGGGGAAACAGGCTTGATGATGCTGATGAGGGGAGGTGGGTTGTGAGTGAGGCTGGTGGGGACCACGGGAGTATGATTTGGGGGGTGGGCAGATGGGGAGGAGGCAGTGGGGAGCAGTGGGATGGCCGGGATGAAGGGATAATCAGGAGCATCCCCATCTGCGGGATGCTTTCCTGGAGATGCACTGGCAATCACAGCTGAGGGGGGAAGGTCTGCAGCCACATCGAGAGGCGAGCTGGGGGCGATGATCTTGTTCCACGCACAAGGACCTGGCAGGCTGCAGATCAGCCTCCCAAGAAATCACAGCAACTGCAGAGCTATGGCCGGCACTGACCCCACACCACTCCTCCAGCTGACCTCAC